CTCTAATTTTAGTAGTCAGTTCACCACTTCCAAAAAATAAATTATAATTTAAGCTAAGTATGGGTAGCAAATATCTTCTTTTGAATCTTGTTGAAAACGTTGTAGAAGAGTAATTGTCAATATTAATATTAATATATTCTGAAGCGAATGTCATAGTTGAAATAATCAAACGGTCAAAATTGCAGCCGATTTTCGAATTATGCGAGAGTAGAAGCAACAGTATTTGCAGCCTCTGAGTAACAGATAATACTGAGCGGCTGGAAAAAGTCAGGAAACAAAATTTAGAATATTGTAGTTTAATAAAAAACATAATTCGTTCACTCGTAGATAGCTTAAAAATATTTGCTGGACCATGATAATTAAATTTAAATATCATAATAATTTGTAACTTGTACGTCTATAACGTAAATCGAGAATTTTATTATGTTGCTGCAACAACTACTTTTAGAGTGATGTTGCAAAATATATGAGCAAAAGAAATAATTTTCTTATTTAAAACTTTTATTGGCAACTCTAATTGCAACATCTTTGCATTGAACTTCGTAGTTTCCTAAGAAAAAGTTTCCTTATAAGTAATTGCCATCACGTCATGCAGTCAACGTTGTTTTGCTTGATTTCATCTGTTTTTGACATTATTATGCAAATTATTATTACACACAGTGCTTGGCATTTCGTTGACGTCTATCTCTGCTACTTGTTTCCATCGGCTTCTCTGACTTCGCAAATGCTTGGAATGAGCAATAATTTCGTTACGAATATAACTAGCGTGACTTTTGCAACAAATTTTACTGTTCCATGCTCCGCCTCAAACGCTGCTTCGACTCATTCATATTTCTTCACGTTTTTGCATATTACCTTTTCTTTTCTTTAGGTACGAGTGTGTTTGCTTTGCCAGCTGTGTCTACAGTGTGGCAGACTTCCTTGTGCATGGCGCACTGTGGCCTGAGTTCGTGTAACTGACAGGAAAAATTAAAACGAGAGTTTTTATACAAGCAAATGTATGAAATTCGATATAACTTATTTTTATGAGTGAGTATATATAGTGTGTTGTATACAAATACTTATTAGAATGTAGTAAAGATCATACTCCACTAAGAAATATGGTGATATAATTTAAGAAGTTGCGTTATTAACAAGAAATTAGGTGTTGATTATATAACCAAAGTTGTGAAATTTAAATTTAACCAAAAATAGTTGTAATTACAATAAAATACTTGTGTAGGGTAACCACCTACCTAAAAATTCATTATTACAATGATCCAACAATTTATGAGTGTAAAATGTCACATAATGCCTATAAAAAAAGATGTTTGACAATTGTTTAAAGATGATGTATAGAACGGGTTGGTAAAACAATGCTTGGGATGTGGGAATCTGAAAAGGGGTGTTTCTAAAAAATTTAGTTGTTTTATATTCGTGAACAGAGTTGCCATATTCGTATGTTCTTGTTTTCATTTTAATAAACACAATTTGTAAGTAAGAAAATGAGCTTTCTTCTTGAGAGTTATTATTTCTCACTACTGTTGCCAGCTTGATCGTTTTGTATTAATTTTCCTTTCTTCTTGATTTATTTTGCAACACTGTGCGTTATCGACATTCGCGCAAGTGTCAGACGGTGGCATACAACTTGCACCAAAATTTACATATGAGGGCATAGTACTCTTTACCTACATATAAGTGTATGTAAATTTACATGTACACTTAGGTATGATTACCAACTTTTGACATTGCCTGCAGTTATGCGTGTTCGCACGACTTTCTTCACCAACGCCGATCCTGTCAGGCTGTGAATGAAGTGTAAGGAGTGAAGAATTAAATGAAATATAAAGTCAGAAATGTTCGGCATTAAAAATGCGATATTCGAGTGCAGACTCTTATGTATATTATATACATGATATATATGTAAGTGCGCCTTAAACTGTTTTATGTAAATACGAACATATTGCATTGACTTTAATTTGATTAAAATTATACAACTTTGTGTTAATTCTTGTAATATGAAACTCTTTGTGCGGTGGGTGCAATTTGCATCAACAAATTTTAAGTTAATATGCATTTAATGGAATGAATATATTTTGATATACATACTTTTAAGTTTGTATGTGCGTATATGTAAGTGTTACATCGGTTAGAAGCTACAGAGGTTCTGAAATGAGTGAGAAAGATTTTATTTCCAAAAGTAGTTGTTTGTCTTAAGATTACTTTTCTGAATGTTATTGATTCTCACCTCGTGGTGAACTGGAACGACGTGAAAATGTGTGCAGGGTTTGGTAAGAATTTCACTTACAGTGAAAGCAGATGATAAATAATTTGGTAAAACATGATAAAACAAGAACAGAGGGTCTGCTGATACTGACAGATGGTTGTGAAAAATAGGTTATAATACAATCTTGGTTTCTATGTAGTAAATTTTATCGGGTTTTCGGGAAGGACGTCGAGATATCAGATTAAATGCACACTATTAGGGATTTAGGTTTTTAAACATTTAGTATTAAATACTAGTAATACAACAATGTCCTTTATTTAGTTTAATGAAATGAATAAATGTTGAACATCTTCCATATTAGATAAACTTAACCGAAGAAACCTCTAAAATCGAAAATACGTGGTGTCATACATACCAAAGTAGCATTTATTTTTAGAGTCTTAATATTAAAAGACTAACGGTTTGGTGCTTGAGCGAAACTTCTGAAAATTTTAGTGCTAAGCATGCTGAAATACTCTTTAAACTTCATTTACTGACAATTCGTTGATTCGCCAAGTCAAAGCATAAACAATTAAATTAAACTAATGTATAGAAAAGAATTGAAAACTTCGAATATATTTTAGCCTTGAAACATTAAGTCTTCGGTCACAAATCGTTTGGGTTACATAAGCATTTTTTCTAAATTGACATTTCTTACTTGCAGTTTTTATTCGCTTTCGCCACTTATACACTTCACTACTTTGCTTCCATCGAATTTCACAAATCATTTGCTACACGCTAGTCCTGACAAAGCGGTGGAAAGTTGGCGTACATTTTCCTAGTCACTCAGGCTTAATCCAATTCTAATATTATCGATTGATTTTGCCTCAAGCACGGAGTACATACACATCTACATACATATATATTGTAGTTTAGTATATAAGAGTATCTACCACCATACCTACATTTAATTTGGATGACCCACAAGGCGAAATTTGCCTGTGTCAATGCCACCACCCTGAACGCGAACGTTCGCTTCTACGACGAACTCCTTCACACACTCACACAATTCAAGCTTGCTGCTTGCCGCCTGCCGGGAAGGAGGAAGAGGTGAAAATAAAAAGAAATATTAAGAAAAGTATTCATCCAAGAATATACTAGTGAGTATATATAGGTATATACATATATATATGTATTAATATATATGTATATATATGTGCTTGTAAGTAGTATTTGGGGACGCTGGCGGCACTCAGCCGGGAGAAGGAGTGTCGACGAGCATTACGTGTATTTCTTGCATGTCTGTTTTGCTGCCAAAGGAACTTAAACGCACACATACATTTATACACCTTCGTATATTTTCTATTTTTATTGAAGTCACAGTCGTTGTGGCTATCAGAGTAGTCAGCGCATTGCCAAGTTCAAGGCATATTATACTACTCGAATGCAGGTGTTGTAATATTTAGACGAGTAGCTTAATGGATAAGAGGGTGGTTGTATGCCTTTCTTTTGTATGTAACTATGAGTGTGGCAAGTAAACAGCGCTCTCTGGCAGAGTTGGCACAGTGACAGATGATGAAACAGTGCGGGAGCATGCTTGGTATGCAAGTAATTCATAGTTTGAAACTGTGAAAAGAAATGCAGAAAATCGTAACAAATGTAAGTTGCGGTGACATGAAAAAATATATTAAAAAAATAGAACAAAATAACAAAAACTATGAAAATGGAAAGCAAAAGACAGCAACTCGGACTTACAGTTGACTTGTGTCGTGAGATCTAGGAGTAGTGAAACAAACAAGAATCTTGAAATGTATATGAATATCTTTGTTTAGAATATGTTACGTATACACATGCTTCTTATAAAGTATAACATCACAACTTTACTTATTTAAATGCCTTAGAGAGTTGAACGAAATCGTTGAAGATTTCTTTGAAAAGCATAAATAATTGAATAAATTGAATACTTCTTATAGTTTCTATTCAGTTATGTTTAGTTTTCATACATACGAGATGTGTTCAGAACATAACGGGAAGTTTTGTATAAAAAAAACAACAAAAAACGTTAACTTCAGTTGCACCGAAGCTATAATACTCTTCACAAATACAAAGGCTCCTTATAAGAACTCAATTTGTATGGCAGCTATATGATATAGTGATCCGATCTATACAGTTTCTTTGGAAGATACCTAGTCAAACGATGCTTTAAGGTTCTCTTTAATTTTGGAAATAGGAAATAGTCACCCGGAGCCATGTCTGGCGAATATGGAGGTTGGGGCATCGTTACAGTATTAATTTTGGCCTCACGAACAAGCACACTTCGATGCTTCGAGTTTTTAACAAACAAAAATCGCCAAACCCATAAAAACACGTTTAACCTTAGGGGCTTCTACAGACAAAGTAAGCAATGAATACAGCTGAAAAAGGTATCGCACTTCAGGGGCATGTATGTACTCGTATACCCCCATAATAAATTTTTTTTTGGACAATTGGAAACCTCCGAAATTCTAAATTAAAAAATTTGTAATTTATTTGTTATAACAGTTACTTTTTTATAATTTAGAATTTTTGATATTAATTTAACAATTTACGAACAATTGACATTTGGGGATAACTGAAAGTTGCGTATTAAACTTTTATTGCAAAAATGTAACGCAATTTGAGCATTTTTTAAATTGAATTTGGAATATGTTCTCTCTGTTTAATACTCAGGACAGTCGTTATAACAAAAATTAGATAATGAGAGCAGATGAAAAGAGCAAACAAATGTTTGACAGTGTTTAACCCAAATTCGAAGAAGTTTTCGCTCTAATAAATATCATTCAGATTTAGCCTCAAACGATTTGTTTCTGTTTCCAAAACTGAAGAAGTGATTCGGTTGTAATCAATTTGAATAAAGTAAAGAGGTTATCAGTGAAAGAAACACCGATTTTGAGATGCCGGTATATTGTTGAGGGATACAAAACTTGTATGAAAACTTTTATTTATACTTGGTTTGTTTTATATTCGATGAAAAAGCATACACGTGGTTCCCAAAGACGATTTTAATTATCTCGGAGAGTTTTTTAACCACGGTCACCAAATCATGAAAAGCATCGGCTGAGGTAAAATCTGAGATTAAAGAAATTTATTTATATGTATATCTCATTATTGATAGGAATAAAATAAAGTGACAAACCAACAGATCGATCAAACATCTAAAGAGGGTGTTAACGCCAATTATAGACATATCAATGACATAAACCTTAGTTTTATATAAGAATAGTATTGAGTGTTCAGCCTTAAGCACATTCCACAAACTACACGTTAATGCGCATGCGAAATACTACAACACACCGGAGGATTTCAATTTGCAACGCCGTCGGACAGTAGCCAATACATTCACTAATTGCTGTCAATAATATCGGCAACCAACTATACTCTAGATAATTCAACGCCTGCATATTCGTGTTGTTTATTTTATTTTTAATCAAGTAAAATGTTCGATACATCAATGTGACCGGACACGGGAGAGGTGACAAAACCTAAACGACGTTCGTGCAATGTGGCATCACAAACAAATCGTAAAGTTTTCAGAATAGACGAAATGTCGGTTAGCAGCATAGGAGGAGTGTCATTGGGGACCAATTTAAGAGCTGCATGCCTATGTGTATGTAGGTATATCGCCACAGGAAATGAAATGAATGAAATTTTGTAGTTGGTCACCTGTAGGATCTGTCTAGCCAAACTCAAACAACTGTGACACGTTGGTATTCCACCTCCTGGGACTGTGGCTGTGATTTGCTTGCGCATTTAATGACTTCGCAAATACAGACAACTGCAAATAAAGCTGCATACAAAGCCACAAACATATAAAAATATATAAAAGGTGCATACATTTTGGGTTTCGTAAGGCATTTCTACGGACGCGCCACAAAGGTGTAGAAATTTGTAGTATTTGGACAGATGAATCGTCTTCTGCTGACCAAATGCAAAGGCTGTAAATAAGGAAATCGCAAGAAAAACATAAACAAAGTAAGTAAAAGTTGTGCATATAAAAAAAACGAGTGCACGCAACGCAAGCAGGTGGCATTCACCAGATACACGAGACGCCGTGCCGCAAGTGAATCAAGTCTACCTGCTGGTAAGTGTGATCCTCAATGATCAGGCTGGCAGGTAACTAACGTTGTTGGCAAGATTGCCGTACAGTGAGCTCACTGTTACTTTTACCTTCTGCTTTGTTGTTGTCCATTTTATTCTGCACTGCAACAGCGTGAATCTTTTGTTTGCGAAGGTAAAAAATTTTGCACCTGCCATCATCAACACAAAGGCTATTAAATCAGATATACCCTGCAAAATGGCAATAAATGAAAGAAAAATGAACAAAAAACATAAATAAATTAAATACAAAAATTTGGAAACTTGATCGTGGTATGCTGCTGCTTGAAAGACTAGAAACGAGGGCGATCGTTTGTGGCAAACATATGCTATGTTCGTGTTGGCTTAATTTTGCGAAGCGTCTCGTATTCCAGCTGTGTTCGGTCGAGAGATATTTATACCCGACTGTAGTATATTGCATAAGGTATTTTTTACCTTATTAGTAAGAGCAATAAGTATCAGGCTAACCACATTAAAACGAGTTAAGTGAAGGGATAAGAATACAGAGTTGAAATAAAAGACATTAAGCTGGCAAAATTGGTCTTTCTAAGGATGCGAGAGTTATATCCGAAGGCCAATTTAGTGTTCAATTGATATGTTATGTGTGGGGGTGTCTGCAACCAATTTAAACATCTTTATGACGGTAGACCTTGGAAACGTATAATCTTTGGTCAATGTTTCTTACGAACGAATCCGAAGAAGAAACATATGTTTTATTTACATAGAATTTCTTTAATATTACAGTACTTTGGTAAACAGTACATATATGGTTTTATTTTATAAAAATCCTCCGCGATCTTCGCTGACAAATATTCCTTAGTATTAATTAAGTCGGCTTTCCTTTTTAAAATATCATAAAATTTCACGGCGAGGAAGAGCATATTCATTCGTATATGCCTTTCCATGCGCTAGTTTTGCGTTGCAATCGGAGTTAGCTGTTCCTTATACATTTTGTTGTGGTTTGATTAGGCTATTGGTCGTATATCATTTGACCTTACGTATATGTTGTTGTTTTCTCTTCTACTATTTTATTTTTTCTGCATGAATATTTTACTTCTGTACCATCAAAAACTTGATTAAAATTTCAGCTTGCAGTCAGACTGATACATTTTGGTTAAGCCTTCAAACTACTCCATATTTGTGGTGTGGCAAATGAATTAAATTTTTTTTCGCACATTTTTTTTTGTGCTGTGGTTTCCGTATTTAGGGTTTAACATAAGTCCGATGTGTTGTGTTTTTGGCAATAATTAAAGGTGGAATTATTTACGGCATTCATTTGTCAGAGTTTATTAAGCAAGGCATTTGAAAATTTACTTGGAACTTTCAACTTTTGCTCACTTATGCTACAAATTTAGTGAATGAGCAGCTGTCTTTTTTATTGTGTGTTAAACGGAAGTGAATTAAGAACTACTCAATCTCTCGTTTTTAGTTACCGGTATTATTTTTATTACAAGTATATAGGACCATACTATTCAGAACATAATATTATCTTAGGTTTTGGTTGAGTTTCTTACAATTTATATTTCGATATTTTTTTGATGAATCACACTTTTTCAACCAAGAAATCGGTGACTCCATTGCTTCTTATGGTACCATATTTGTATTTGCAGTAGAGGCTCTTTCGGCTTTCCTGTTGCTTGAACAAAACTATGAAGTCGATCCAATTTTAAATGGCTTCTAGAAAGAAGCAATTTTTATATTTTATTACTAGTTCAAGAATATCTTTATGAGTTAAAACATTTTTCAAAACTCAACGACTCATATTTTTTATCCCCCTTTTCCTTTGCCGCCACACTTGCTATTACCTTCGCCTTGTATTTACTGCAAATTGCTTTCCCACCGCAGTTGTCAAGCCGAAATCACAATTTTTCATGTAAAGCACTTGATAGACGAGTAATTTGTCATTGTCAGGTACTCGAAATAACGGAAGGATCATAAAGCTGCTACAACTAATCTACAAATCTACAATAACATAGCAACTGCGGGAAAATAATTTTCTTTTGACTTGCCATTGGTCAAAATTGTTGACCTGCGGTAGCGCTGCTGAATGTCAGCTTTCCAGCAAGCCATGTCATGCGTTGACAGCAAGCGCATACTTTTCTCATTTGCACTTTAAAACTCTTGAAACTCTCGAGTGCCCCTAGCCAAGTGGTGTTACTCAAATGCCATTCAATGTGCTGCTCCTTAAGCCTACTACCTATCTATCGTGCATAGCAGCAGCCTTCAAATTTTGCTATTTTCTGTGCAATTTCTTGAATTCAATATGCCAGCACGTAATTCACTTTTCTAGTCGAACTCCCATTTTGTATATTCGTTTTTTTGCTCTTCTTTTTTATTTTTTCAATTTTGAGTGATTTTTCTTGTACTAGTTGCAAGCGTTTCCCCAATATTTGCGAGCGTGCTGAAATTTCTATTCGTCGAATTTGATTTTGTTTACTTGCTATGCCAGATTTGGCCGCAATTTCCTTGCAAATTCTTACAATTTAACAACAACAATGCTTTCTGTTCCCCACAGACGGGTGCACCAAAATAAGGTTGATTTGTCCTCAAGTTTCTCATTTGTATTCGTGTTCTTACTCAAACATTTTTAACGTATACCTACATACCTATGTATGTATATATTTACATGAAATCGTATTTGAATAACAGTTCATGGGTGGTACAGTGTTGCCAAGTTGGTTCAAATAATTGGCTTGTTTCGTGGTGAGTAAGTTAGTGCAGTTATTGTAATTTTCTATATCTTTAGTTGATTTAAAACTCATAGAAGAGTATACCTAATACTGCATGTAATCTTAAAAAGCATGACTATGCAAATTTTTTTTATTTTTTTGTTATTTAAAAAATCATATGGCTTATGGGTTAGGTATCCTAACTATTAGTTTATATTTCGACCTTGTTATGAAAAATTAAATTGATAACCGATAAGATATTTCATACACTGAAATATGAGTGGCAAAACATCGGTTTCAACATGCTTGTGAACAGTAAAAATACTGTATGGTAGAATCACAAAAGTTGTGGGACTTTAATGTTTTTTATACTCATATATCTCTTTCGGTTATATTCCGATATTAAGAATTGTGGGCAAGAAAATTATTATTCTGCCTTCTTGTTATACAATTTCAGTAGCGATCTAATTAAAATATATATTTTGAATTTATTTTAGTGTGGCAACACTCTTTGTCTAGCGTTGCTAAAGCATCAGTGCCGTCCGAAGGCAATATAAATCTTTCTTCCAGCAAACAATCAAGCCGAAACTATGTGCCTAAAAAGCAAACACATTGTTAACAAAATACTAATATACGTATGTATATCCGAATATGTATGTATGTATGTTTTAAAATAATTTCATTGAAAATTTGAGCGTCCAGTGGCACTTGAACTGTATTCAAAATTTAATGAGTAGTGACGTTGTGTGTACAAGTTGGACTTGGCTTACGGAAGTGAGCAGTTGCGGTAGAGGGAAGTAGCGAAAGCTTTTACTAGTAAAAAAAATAGAAGTGGGGAGTGACAGTGACAGCGCAGCTTTTGGAGGTGTCGAGTTCGTGGCACTCAAAGCGTCATTTTCAATTTAATGGATATTTATTTGAAATTTGTGCACAGAAAAGTTTTTGCGCGCTTAATGGACTATGACAAGACACAAAAATCGATTAACACGTAATTATGTGTTTGTTGTTACATTTGCAGTAGGAAATTTGAGTTTAAAGTGTGAACGCTATATTAGGTCCTTAGAGTGTTTCAGTTTGCGTCTTAAGTAAGTCTTATCATGAGCTTCCCTCTCTTGCCTATGCGTGAAGTTGAGAAGCGTTAGGGAAGAATATTGATCAATGTTAAATGCGCGAAGTCCTTTTAGTGGTGGACTGAATTTCAGATGATTACCATTAAAGAAAGAACGCAGGGTTAGATTGATTGACGATGATGAGTTACGTGATTTATTTTGTGAAATTACTAAAACTAATTTTTTTCTTTTTTATTTCAGATGATAATTAGCTGTGCTCTCAAAAGAAGCCATCACGAAGTAGATGAAACGCACATATCAAAGTTATATTTACAATATAATATATTTAAGGTAAGTAAATATTTTTCGAGAAAAAATTTAATTTTTAATTTAAAAAATTATTTGCCTTTACATGCAAGTACTTTGAGTGACTAAGTGTATTTGAAGCTCTTGAAGTTACTCGATAAATTTGGAATGTCATTTAAAGGGATATATTTTTTTAATGATTAGTATAATAATAATGACAAGCTGCACTTGATTTCGAAGGTTTGATAAAATTGGCAATGCCATGTGAGACAAAGGGGTTTTCCAATGCAGATTAGGACTATCACTCTTCAACCAACACCTACTAAACCGAACTTTTTTAGCTGTGAATTCGTTGAGTGGAGGAAACCATGACTGTGTCGGTATAGGGATCTTTGATGTATCTCTGTACTATAGATTTATTACGTAAATTTAGTTTTAAGATTTGATGCATGTTCGAATGCTTTCAGAATTTAGCACGTAATTAAAATAACATAGTTTCACATTTTCGAAATGATTAAAGCTGAGTGCTGAGGTCTATATGATCTAGATAATGCTAAATGTGTAAGAGTTTTAATATATATTATCGTTGAATGTTTAAAAACTTAAAAAAAAAAAATTGGTAATGTCGTTTATTTTATTATTAAAATAAAGTACGAGTCCTCCCCTCTCTTAGGAACATATGACATATAATATTGTCGTAAATTGTTATTATTTCTCTTGATGCGAAAGTAACTGTGACGGATTTTTTTGAATCAAAAAGCGACGACATAAAAATGATGAAAATAGCAGAAATAACTTTACTGAAGCTTGTATTAACGTTGTTATGTTCTCAGTGTCCATTCACTAAACGACAAAACTACCATTCATATAAACCGACGACATCATAAACAGCAGTCATCGTCAACATCATCGTAACCGCAGCGCTGACGAATGCTCGTCCTCATATGCACGTTATGTCAACGTTGATGCTTGGTCGATGTTCTCAATGTCAGTTGCATAACCAATGCAGCCCACAAGCATGGATACATGAAGAAGGCATTTGCGACGCATACTATTGTTCAAAATATGTCAGCATCATTTACGTGTACGCTTCATAGTAAAATAACTCCCTTTATGTGAATGAGTGTGCAAATGAATGGCCATTGACTCGCAAGGCGTTTTTGTTGTGAAAATATGTAAGTGGGTGTTCCATAAAATGATCTGATTTCGTTGCAAAACCGTGTCACAATTTCATGTGACGTAAAATGGTTTCAAATATGAATGGAGCGTTTCTAAAGAAAGCAATTCGTTTGGAAAAGCACTTATAATACACGCTTTGGTTACACTAATCCAGTGAGTCCCATTTAACTTGGTCAAATCGAGGGCGCCAACTACATCCCTCGTAACGGTTGGTTTTTATAACCTTCTTTGTGTTTTGTTCTTTATTAACTTGTTTCTTTCACCTGCATTCATTGCTCATTGAGTTGAGCGGCTTAGCAACTGTACTGTATCATAGCCGTAGATACTCATTCCACAAGCTGCCTAATTTTGTTTGGTGTGAAGTGTTCCCGTTAGTCATGTGACCGTGTTTATACAGTTTTTGTTGTTGTTGCATTTGACTCATTTGCTTCAATGTTTGGCTATTACAATGTATGTATGTACAAACGTCTGTAGTTTTAGCTCCCATTTTGTTGCTGTTCAAAGGATTTAGAGTCTCACTCTGTTGTAACATTGACGAAGGTTTATTTGGTTCGAAAAAAAGTAATGGTATACTTCTTTATTGAAATTGTTCCGCTTATGTGTTTTATTTATGCTCAATTTGCTTCAGCTCACACATTGTTTTTACAAAAAGTGGATCTGAATATATCTCGTAAATATATACATTATACTCATACTTCGAGATTATTGTTACTCATATATGTATATACTTTTTTCCAGTAGTTTATAAGCTTCTCACAAATAGGCTTCGGTTCTATATCGCAGAGGGTTGAAAATCGAATCGGTTAGGGAAAAATCATTTACAAGAAGATTGTTCGAAAGTGATGTCTCTGCCACATAACCGATGAGCTGGTATTCGTTGAAGTCATCGACTGCTGCAGAGAAGATAATAAAGTTACCGCTGAGAATTGGGAATGGATAGTTTCTTCTATCTTAGCGGTTTTCCTTAAATACGATGATCACCATATACCATATATTGGGTTGAGGAACAGGCGACACATAGACAATGTTAATAAGCGGCAATCAGTTATGCGATATAGTTCGACTTACTACTGAACTATCCATTTCAAAGTAGTTGTTACAAATAATCCAGTGTTTTGACCCTCAACTGCCAATGCACAACCCTAGGCTCATTAAGCTGGAATAGTCTCATCAATAAACGTCGATTTTAATTGTTTTTGCTATGGTAAAAGTAATAATCTGTTTTCACAACTTTATCTCTTATTTAGGTTATGCTGGCTTACTAGTTAGCTATCCAAAGAGTTGACATCATGTCAATGAGGTTGCATGAATTCTGTTTTACACATGATGGAATTCATCGCATTCGATACTATCTCTTTTAGTGTTTAGTGACAGAGTTTATTCACACTAAAGTTGCATTTTTATTGCTCATGATTGTGTGAATGTCCTCTTTTTGTTGAATGAATTTTTGTGGGAATTCTAAAAGCACAGATAGTGATAATCGCCTTGGTTGCGGTCTCTGCAAAAGCTTACCAATCTCCATGCATGCAACAAATCAAAAGGGATGACATGAATACTTGGAAAAGGGTGTATGTATGTATTTAATTTTTTAAGAGGTGCAAAAGCGAATCCAACAACCTCATTTCAACAAGGGGGGAGCGTTGATAAAAGCGTAGGGGAGGAGCAAATTAAAATTCAACTGGAATTTTAAATTACTTCAAAATGTGCTTGTTAAAATGACAGCTTCAAATATGGACAGCATGTTGTTAGGTTGATAATGAATATTCAAGATCCAAAAAGTGTTAACTTTTAGGGTGTTAAGCGAGTCTCTGAGGAAAACCCGTAATTCCACTACGAATTATGGCATAGTTTTCCACTGATCTGACGCTCCTCAAAATTCCCATAACTTTAGTAAATTGTTTCAGTACTTAGTACATTGTTGTGTGTTGGTTCAGTACTTTTAAAATGTCACCTTTCATGATCCCTTATACAAATGGAATGGCAACTGTACTAATTTTATTATCATAAAAAGTGTTACGCTTAATGTGTGTGTATTTGTATTCCACATCTTCTCCAACTGAACTACCACGTAAAATATGAGCCATTTTTCCTGCAATAAAGCCCCAGCGGCAAAGTCGACGCTATACCAGTAAGTTCCCTTTTCATTTTAGCTCAGTGTACTTATGTAAGTCGCATCATGATTAATCACAACACTTTCCAACCCATTAATTTTTGTAGCTTTTCTGGAAGTGCACGAGTTCTATACAGGAATGTGGAGACAGTTAGATCTTTGGATAAGTGGAAGTACTTTTACTTGGACGAGTGGAGTAGTGACTTTATGGGAAGTTGTTGAGACACGAAAGCAAAGTTGAGCTGTGTCTAGCAAGTTTGTGACAGCTATCTCATACGAGTATACATATATACCTATGTGCATATTTGCAATCTATCAGCAGATGTCTGCAGGGGTGTGAACAAAAAAGTGAGAGGAGTTGGTAATATAAAGTAGATGTCGCATACAGTAAATGCTAAGTAGTATTTATCCCACACGTTTCTAATGAAAGGTTCCCGTATTCTTATTGGTTTACCTAAAGGTTATTTGGGCAGTAGTTGCCGGTACTTTAAACCTACACTTTTCTAATTGCAAGTTTTGTCGGTGTTGTACTCTTTAGACGGTATATATAATAGGTCCAAATAGACTGCATGGTAATTTAAAGAATACGAATATATTATTTTTACTATATGGCTTAACGCAATTGTCTCGTTCCCACATTCGAAGAAACGTATAGAGGGTCTGTCTTCCTTTTTCATGTATAGTTTCACATCTCTTTCGTCAGAACACAAGTGAATGCGATAGCTAACGGTAGTAGGAAAATAAGAAGGTTCTATATATTTGTATCGATTCTAATCACTATTTCGAGGATAACTTTCTATCAATTTTTAAAGAATCTAATAATGACTTATCCAGAATGCGTTTTTGGCACCTCTTTGTTATTATTTTTCGAGCTGTGAACTAGTGTCATTTCAAACTGCTCCTCGTAAGTTTCCAAGTAGTATTTGCGGCGTTTGCCGAGCCACACATAAAGTGCATAAGTATTGGTGGCAGATAATATTGTGTGTATAAAATCAGCAGTTGTCACCGGTATGCTGCCATTGGTTCTTCTACTCGCGGTATTTTCGCCTTAACTTACTAACGCGATAAAACTTTGAAAAGCTACGAAGCAGATGCTTCAACAACAAAGCGACAATAATACTACCCTATTTGCGCTTCGTCATTTCACTATACTCCTACCAACACGACAGCTATTCGGTGTCCGCTGAGAAGAATAGTATAAAAAGCGCAAAATAAGGGACCTCAAAAGAAATAGAATGGAAATAAAAATGGTTGACAACAATTTCGTATAAGTTTGCTTCGCCGTGCGTACACTTGAGATTTCATTTTCGCACCTTAGCGTCAAGCGTACAACGAGAAAAGGACGAATTTATGTAAATGCATGTAGCTGCATTGTTGTTGTATGCATAAAAATGTGGGTGGAAATATATCTACGCACATGCGTCTTAGTTTATTTGAAAGTTGAACGGCATTCAGAAGTAAATTGAATTTTAATATTTTTTTTTGCCGAAAACTGACAACATTTTGTATTTCATATGGATAAGAAATATGGTGCCTTTTTCTGACATCCCTTTTAGTGCTTCACAATCTGTTTTGACGAGTATCAGTGTTGTCTCGGCACCTCGTAGACGAAATTGCTTTATTTTCTAAGCGATGCCTGCTTATTCTATCACGACATTTATTCAGCTTGCTTAACTGGACAGTTCCAATTTGGTTGAATTATCTTATTGAAGATCAGAATACATTCGTCAAATGCCAAGTGTTTCATGAAAGTTCC